ATATATATATATATATATAAACCTACAGTTCTTACAAGCTTTTTTATTTATTTATTTATTTCGATAATTGCTAAGTGTTACTTTTTAAAATAAACTATCATTTTTTATCTTATTTCAAAAAGTTTCATGGTTAAATGTTTGACAGGTTTTTGAAGTAATAAGAGCTAATTGAGTAAGCAATTAATTAACTGTTTACTATATTTTTTTAGTGAATACAGGAGGCTAATAAGCTCAAAGATAAGAAAAAGACAAAGCAAAACTAAAATTCATTGAAGAAACGAACTCGAGGCAGCAATCAGAGGGATTGAGATCCTAGTGGGGGTGTTCAAACATTTGGAAGTTGAAACCCATGTTAGCCATGGTGTATACTACTTGATTGGTCTCTATGCAAACATGGTGACATTTGATCTGCTGCTCCATACTTGCAGTTTCAACAATGGAATTGATAAGTGTAGCACGACTATGTGAAGCTGCACATCCAGCATTAAGGAATTTTGCTGCAAGAGTGGAGTCCAATTCGATAATGATATCTTCTAAAAGTCCTTTATCTTTAATAATGCACAGGTCATGTAGAATGACCTAGAGTTTAGCTTGAACTACAGAATACTGCCCGAGATTACAGGAGAATTACAAAATATAGTCACCAATATTGTCACCGATGATGCCTCCACAAGCAGCCCTCTGACCAGAGTTTCAAACTGCACCATCACAGTTTAACTTGATGAATCTAATGGGAGGAAGGTCCATATAATTTTAGTCGAACATAATTTAAATTTAAAAGTACTTTTTAATTTCTTTTCGTATTAATATGTTATTTTCTATTTGAGAATTGTTATAATAATACGATATAACTTTTATTAAAGCTTAAATCATTAAATAATTTTATATTAAATATGAATTTTGTAAATTTAATTATTAAATTAAAAATTTTTATTTTTAAATTACAAAGAATTAGTGATGGATTAGTGACCAAATTTTGCAACAAAAATTCAAATTAGTAAGGTAGAATCAGTCACTAAAAATCCGTCACTAATGCTTATATATATATATATTTTTTAAAATTTATTAAAAGATGAACATTTTGAGTATCTTTAAATTGTTGTTTAATTTTAACAAAATTTGATATAAACATATAAAATACATGAACTTTCAATCTAACGGTTGAATTTACAAAATTTATATTTAATATAAAATTATTGCACGATATAATATTTAGTAAAATTACACTATTATTATTATTATAACTTTATATATATATATATATAAAGTAGAGGTTTAATTATGTTTTATAATTTTTTTTGAAGTTTAAAATTTTCTAAAATCATTTAGACAAAGCAGAAGCTTGTACGTACTAGCTAGAGGACTTTTGTCGAATGAAATATTTGTTTTAAATAAACAAGGAAACCAAGAGAATCAAATTCAACACAAATAGACGAATCACGAAGCACAAATTATTACTTTAAGCAAACAATAATGATTAAGCCCACGTATTACTTTGGGTTATTTAAAGGTAGAGACAGGACAGGTGCTTGGGGAGAGATGTTTGTCGCTGGTAACGTAAAGCATTGAGGTTAATCGAAAAGGCAAAGGTTGTTTGTTTTAAAAGTTAGATAAAATTCATTTTAGATTGTTATTTTTAATCTTGTTCAATATTTTAGATTGTGAATGGTTGTAAAAAAAATTAGATTGTTAAATGCAAATATGCTTATAGTATATTAAATTAATCTAAATCCTAAAAATTTACATTAAAATATATATGATTTTAACTTTAAGCATTGTCCAAATAGATTCTATTATTTGTCTTAGGTTAAAACTTCATTCAACTGTGGAGAAAGTTCTGTATCCATATCATCCAACATGCATCGCATCTCGTGGCAAAGTTAGCGTCATTCCCGAGATTTTGTTTAGTAATAGTGCCATGATATGATATCCTTCATTGGCACAACACAAAGTAGACAAATGAATGTGTGAAAATAATGAAGGAATGATAACCAGTAATTAAATTTAGGAGAAAAGGGAAAATTATAGTAGAATGAGAAGCTTTGTTTAAAAAAAACTTACTTAATAGGTGTTTTTTCTTCTTCAATTTTTACAATATCAGTAAATAAAAATATTTATTGGGATCCTAAAGTGTGATTTATATCTATAAATTAAATTTATGAAAAATGAAATTAAAATTTGAAAACCATAAAAATTAATCTCTTATTATTAGATTCGATTGAATTTTTAATCCAATTAATTTATGTGAATATATATATATATATATTATAAAATTAACTTGACAGTTAAAAAATCTTATATTTACGAAATTTTAATATTTAATTATTTTTTTCATGATTTTATTCTCAAGATTATCTTATTGCTTTTTAAAGAGTAAATATAACTATTTTAATATATGCATACGCTTATATTAGTTTTGAATTAATTTAAAAGTATTCCCATGTATCATTTTTCTTTATTTTATAAATTGTTTTATAAAAAAAATAATTAATAAATAAATAAATCTTACATAGTGTGGATCAAATGATAAAATAAGATACACTTACCACCTTAACATAATTAAAAACAAAATATATAAAACCGTTGAATCCAATCTAAATTGCTTATGATCAGGATAAAGATTAGATTTAATATTGTATTCAAATAAATTCAAACTGAACCATGACGCGTTTTCACACATATGATCAAATTAAAAAATATTTTTACTTAAAAATTAAGCTAATCTGAACTGCAAATACATGTATCCGCCTTATTATGCCAACCTTGATTTCCATGTAGCTATTAACATAAATAGGTTTTTTTTTTCAAAAAAAAAAAAGGAAAGAAGATTGTCACATTCTAATTATATAGTTCGATATAATGGGTCTTGTTAGGAGTAGCAATGAGTTGTATAACTCATAAACAAGTTATTAGGCCAATTATCCTATCTTTTAAGGTTCTTCTAATATAATGAAGAAATTAGTCGGTCACTATTATCGATATTCTATAAAAAAAAATATTAATATTCATGCATGCCTTTAAAAGCACGTTAATTATACGTGAATAGCATAAGTAAAAAAATAAAGATGCTGCAAAAACAAAAATCAAGGAAGGTAGAGCATAACAAAAAGCTAAGTTTATTCAGTTTTATAGTTGACATACAATACTGATGAAGCAAAACCATTATTTATTTTCCCTTTTATCAAGGGTAAATCAAGTGGTTACATGGCACCATGCTTTCATCTTGAAACGAAGACAACAAAAAGAAATATTCAAACACAAAGTTTTGCAAAGAGCAACTTCATGATGGAGGCTAAGAACCTCTTTAATTTCCTCTCACCAAATTCAGATTTTGGCATTGTCCGAAGCATCACGATGGCAGCACTGGTAATTAACAGATGTCACCTCCATCACACGTGCACACGTGGGATTTGGGCACGTTATAGTGACTAGAACATTTGCATTATTTTTAACAAAAGCACACTGTTGACGAGCATATATCTCATCAAGCTTGATCTTATAGTACTCATCGAAGGCCACGTCAAACCCTTCTTTTTGAAGTATTTTCTCTTTCCATGAATCAAACTCGGCCAAAGTTTGAAGCATAGGCTCGCTGTGACCCAGAACCCTCACGTTGAAGCCTTTGGTGAGAATAGCCCATCCTTTTTGATCTTGTTTAAGGCACAGCAAGGTCTTCACAATCTTTTGAACCTCACAGTCCAAAGGATCCTTATGCTTCTGCAGTCTCTTCCTCTCTATTTCAATCCAGAAACGTGAAACAATCTTGGAGTCATCCTTCCCCAACTGATAGTGATCTATTATAGTATCAGTGCTCAAGATTGTTGCATGCCTTTTTGTATTCTCCACGGCCACTGTGAACTGTTGAATCCAATTTTTGTCACCACCTCCATAGATGAAGATGTACCTGTCCCCGTTGGCCTAACTCACATTGAAAACAAACTATGCATATAAATATTGCACATTTATAGTATAATAATATGATACATTATTATTATTATTATAGCAAATTCCATTCACATAACATTTATAAAAGATACAATACTATAATCTGTTCTTCAATATAGTTACAGATAATACAATATATACTTTATTAAATTTAATATATTAGGTAGATAAAACACTAATTCTAATTTTGATCGAGAATAACACCGATTTTACTTATGATAAAATGGTAATGTATATAAAAATAGCTTCAAATACTATGTTTACCTGTATTCCAAGATTTGCTTTCCTTGCTGCATCCCAGAACCACTTCCATTTTATGGTAAGCTCAATACCATCACTTTTCCTGAAGGGGAAGGCATCGATTCCCCATTGGAAAATCAAGTCCATTGCATCTTCGTTCAGTATGTCACCTAGAGGAGTGAGCACTGGGATAATTGGCTTACCCAAGTAATTAAATTTCTCTTTTATTAACTCAGTGCCTGGTAGCTCTGAGAAGAGCTCCACTGCGTACCATTTGATGTTATCCTTCAAAACATTGAATTTGTACCTCTGCTTCTCGTCCCAGAGAGCCACAATGGGGAGCCACAAAATCTTGAAATCCTCTTTCTTATAATTTTTTATTATTTCCGTAGGGTTTTCCTGCAATCTGTCATAGATTGAATTCAAAAGTGAAATCTCATCTTCAATCTTGTCCAGGCTTGAAATGAACAACAAGACATATTTCTGCTTGAAGACTTCAATATCCTGTTTGAAACATAAAACGAAAAGAAAAGGACATAATCATTAGTACTGGTTTTGTTTTAAGAAGACACCCCAATAAGGCAACATAACTAAATGAAAAGGCGATATAAATTTTTTATAGAAATATATTGGCACAGTCATCCACTTTTGGATAGATTTATTGGTGGCTTCAGTTTATATTGAATATCAGATAACAATAGTTAAGGAAGCCTAAATGTTATTGAAACTAACCGTTTTGGTTTTGGTGCTGCCATCGTATATTTGGACCTTAGATTTATTGTCTTGGATCAGAAGCTTCAAGAATTCAACAACATCCTTGGGATTGGAAAATGCTTTCCTGCGCTGCAAGTATTCCTCTACATAATCTGAAACGAATTAATGGACATATAACCTCTTATTAGTTGTTAGCATTTGATCGGTTCCATCATACTTATTCATTAATCCAAAATTAAAATAACTGTTCTTCCTAATTAATATATAAAATATGAGGCACTAAAGCACCTAACCTATTTGCTCCTTGCTCGATATCAGGTGTTGCTTCAATCTAGAATCAGCCAAAGAAAGCCTTTCCATAAAACCCGTTAATCTATAGTCCCTGAAACAAAATTAATAAAGAATTTCAGTTTGATAAATAATGTGATAGTTAGATTGAGAAAAAAATTATAAAAGTCTATTTTCTCGGGTTTTACTATTGAAATTTGTATAAGCTTTATTATAATTTTTAATTCGCTGATCATAAATATTTTTTATATTAATAGTTTATTAAAATTAAATCATCTTTAAAAAAAATATCACAGAAACTAAATATATATTTAAAACTTAAATTCTATAGTATACACAACCCGATGAAAGTGTGTAGCGTATAAAGTCATAATTAAGAAGAAATGTTAGCTGCTGCATGTACAACAATTCATGCACTAAATTATATGATAAAAGCGAGAGAAAAGAAAAGAAAAAGAAATGTAATAAATGGTGTAAAAGGTGAGAGATTAGCATAAAAAGTGTCATATATAGTAGTATAAAATATTGGATGAAATGAAAAAAAAAAGTCATATAATTAAGAAATATGTTTAGATAAGGATTTTCAAGAGTTTCTTTACCAGAAAATTGGTAGAAAAATTCTTTAAAGTCCTTCTAACTTGTATTTAATAAAGTTCTAAGATAACTTACGAAACCCCAACGAGGTTGGCCGTGGCAGCAACAAGGGAAGCAAGTGTCCAATACACAACAACAGGGATCTCATTCAGGGCATTTGACAAGGAAGGCACTTCCTGTATGTCATAACCAAGAGCAGACCATCTTGCCCAGTCTTGGATGCGATCAAGCACTTCCCTCACCAGCACCACCAGATTGGTCGCAGGGTCCTTTCTAATTTGAACTTGATTCAGTTGTTTCAACGAGTTTGCAAGTTGATTATCCGGTGTTGCAATGTCACTGAGGTACAACAGATTCCCATACTCCAAAGCGAAAGCAGCTAGAGTTACCAGTGCTTTTGCCTCCCACGAGTAGCTTTTGAGGTACTGAAGAATGCACATCGTTGTTTGGTGCACATAATGTTCACCACGAGGTGTGGTTATCATCTGTTATCATACCATCACTTGTTTTCATTACGTTGCAAACATAAGATCATAATACAAACGACGAACGAACCCTTTATAAATGAAGCAAAATAAATCGTACGTCGCGCGCGACATGTTTCATCTAATTAATAATATGCAAATAAAGAAAGAAATAATGATGATTGTGCCATAAAATAACCTGACAAGAAATCAGCTTCATTGTACGAAATTCTGGTTGGAAAACGGTATAAGCCTTGCCTTCAGGTAACCCTGTCTGTGACTCACAATAACCAATTAAAATGTTAATTACATGATAAACATGCATATACAGATTGCATATATTATACTGTATTAGTTAATGTGACGTTGACATTGAAAAGGTGATACTAACTATATATAAAAAAGATAAATAAACTAGCTACTATATAGCAACATCTGTTATATATTGGAGTGGGAGAATGATCAGTGAAAGAAGGTGAATTATATTTATACCTTACGTACAACACTGTACACAATGTCCGAAAGGACATCTACATCGCACTGGTCTTCATCATGGAGGTGGGTCAGATAAACTTTCTCAAGGATTTGAGAGTCAGAGAGATCAAAGGGATTCGGAAGCTGAGGTTTCTGCAGCTTCGCAGGGGCAATTGAATCAGCTGCTATGGACAGTGACATGGTGATTTAGCTTTGGGGTATTCTTCAACTTCTAAGATCTTTAATGCCTTGTGGGGTTGGTTCCTCCACGTATATATAGGCTAAAGAGGGCACAAGAGTTGAAGAGTTTACACTTGGTATAATTACTTTATAACTTAATTAAGAGTTCAAAAAAGGATAAAATATACGATGTAGCTTCTGCTGGGGCCTTTCTAGGCGTGAAATGTGCCTCTATAATGTGATTTTCACAACATACCCCTTATGGGCTTCATGAGCCATGCGGGATGACTAAGGATATCATTGGCACTTTGTTGAAAATTCACAAAAAAGATGATCCAGATTCTGCCACTTCCCAAACAGAGAAAAGATCGAAACATGTTACGGGTTCAAGAAAAGAACAAATGTACTTAAATTTTACTGATTAACAAAGATGCTTCTAGACAGAAATACTAGAACAACCTTTATTTATTTATTTATTTATTTACAGTATTAACTAGAAAAAACTATAAAATAAAAAATAAAATAAAAATAAAAAAATCTGTGGACGAACATATATGAGAGTACGTATCACTACTAGAATTTCTCTTATTACATGCGACTTTTCCTACGAATTTTTCATAAAAATTTGCAGGAAACGTTGTTCCTACAAATTTTTCTGCGAAATTTTATTTGCAGGTAATACCTTCGTGGATAATATATTTTTGCGAATTTTAAAATTCGCAGGAAAATTTCCTGCGAAATTTCTTGCGAAAAAAATTCACAGGAAAGTTTCTTGCAAAAAAAAATTTGCAGGAAAATTTCCTGTAAAAAAAATCCGTAGGAAAATTCGCAGGAAAGTTTCTTGCAAAAAAAAGTTTGCAGGAAATTTTCCTGCAAAAAAAATTCCCAGGAAAATTCGCAGGAAAGTTTCTTGCAAAAAAAAGTTTGCAGGAAATTTTCCTGCAAAAAAAATTCGCAGGAAACTTTCCTGCGAATTTTTTTGCAAGAAATTCTGCAGGAATATTTTTTACGAAAAAATAAAAAAAAAATACTATAAATTATATATTTTAAGAATTCATAATCTTTTATTTTCATGCCTCATACATAATCTTTTAAATTCTAAGATTGTAGATTATAAGTCTAACACTCAACCATACAATTCAACTTGTAAGGTAAGTGTTGCCCCAACTTATATACTCTTTAATTGTTTTATTTTCAATCGATGTGGGACTTAGAGATTTTTTAAAATATTAAACTTATGAATTTAAATAT